TGGACGTTCTTAAGACTGAGTAGGCGAAAATGCTATAAGCATACCATAAACTTCCGGGCGATGGACGACTTCGACCTCCTGGGTCGGCTGCAAGGGCCTCCAAGACGGCCCAGAGATACTTCCAGGAGCGCCCCAGAAGGGGCTCCTGGAGCCATCCTGACGCGCTTGAAAGCTTGCAGCTCGACGAGGGGTCGGGGGCATTTGAAAGAAAGCGTGCGCTGGGAACCGCCCGAGGACACAAGAGCGTCCAAGGTCATGGAACGTTTCACAGAGCATCAAATATGCCGAATTGGTGGTTCGCAAGGACATTGGGGGCACTCCGCCCAATGCCTCGCGGCACAGTGATAGATTATCCTGCTTCCCATCTCCATGATCGAGGACGCCAGCGGCGCATCACCGGCCGCTCCCTGGGAGTTTGCCGAAGTGGTGCGCAGCATCGAAAGTCGTGACGCGGCGCGTATGCCAGCTATCAAATGGCCGTCGGCCCATCCCGCCACCGTGCTTGGGTTTTGGGTCGGAGTCCTCGTGGACGCTTTTTGGGGTCTCTCGAGAGGGCTCTCGGGGGCCTCTGCGGGGAAGTTTGGCGGCTTCTTGGGAGCCTCTTAGGGCCCTCCTGGAGCCTCTTGCAGCTCTCTTGGGGCCTCTTGGGGGCCTCCTGTGGGCCTCTTAGAGCCTCCTGGGGGCCTCTTGGGACCGAAAGCTCGAAATGTTCATTCGGGTTCCCCTTCTGGGCGCCCTCTTGGGGCCGTCCTGGGGCCCCTGTTGGGCCGTCCCGGGGGCTTCTTGGGCCGTCTTGGGGCCCTCTTGGGCTGTCTTGGAACCTTCTTGGGAGCTTATTGGGCCGTCCTGGGGCGATCTCGGGGGCCTCTTGGACTGTCTTGGAGCGTCTGTAATTTGGCGAAACGCGAAAATCCTTCCAAAACCTGCGAAAAATCAATGATTTTCGTCTCTTGGGGCTCTCTTGGGGGTGCTCTTGGAGGCCTCTTGGGCCGCCTTGGAGGCGTTTTGGGCCGTTTGGAGGCAATCTTGGGCGTCTTGGAGCGATCTGGAGCCGTCTGGAGGCTCTCTTGGACCGTCTTGGGGCTCTCTTGGACCGGCTTGGGGCGCTCTTGGGTCGTCCCTGGGCTGTTCCGGACCTTGAAGGGCCCCAGGGGGAGGGGGGGGTCCGGCGGCAGAGTAGGGCCCCCTCGGAGGGACTTCAGGATGGTTTTTGACCAGGCACTGGCGAAGGGGGCCAAAGATTGTACCAAAAACTCTGTCAGAGAGGTCTCGCACGGCCCAACCCGCTGGGCGGGAGCGGCCGGATCTGAAGGGCTGCGCCCTTTGCCGCCAGCCCCCCAGGCTAAGCCATTTTGTGGCTCTGTTGGAACAGTTGTGGGGCCTCTCGGAGGCATCTTAGGGCCTCTGGGACCATATGCAAACCATCTTGGGCAATCTGGGGGCTAGCTTGAGGCCTCCGGGGCCGACCTTGAGTGCATGCTGACGCTCTCAACAATCCACCTCTTGCGCATTACGTCACTCTTCCTGCTCGCTCCTCGTCCTGCTCGTTTTCATGGTCCTGCTCCCTCAACATGCTGCATCCTGGCACCCTCGCAGGCTGGGCCTTGATGCACCAGACCCGCCAGAGCCAGTGGAGCGCCCCGAGCGCACGGCTCGGACGGAGAGCGTGGGCACACATCTGCGCGAGGAAAAGGCGCGGCGCCTTGCCGATGGAACGCTGCTCCGGCGCCGAGAACGCGGAGGGGATGCCCCAGCCTCCCCAGCGGGGGCTGGAACCCGCTGGTCTCCGTCTTGGCGTCGCCAGTGCAGCGTTGGCATGTCCCCCAGCACGAGAGGGAGCATTGGACACATATTGGATGTCGTCCGGGAGTACACAGTGTCCTCCAAGATCGAGAAAATGATGGGTGACCGCTGGGGGACTTGGTGGAAGCTCCACGCGTGCCAAGCAGTTTTCTATTTACCTATGAGAAATTGCAACAGCACAAGGGTACCCCGTCAGGCAAAACGCTCGTTGTCCGTCGCATTTGTCTCCAACTGCTTCTCTCCACCAGCTATCGCGTACAGAAATGTTTCGCAGCATGTCGGCCACGCGCAGAGGGGGGTATGGGGGAGGGGGGGAGGTTTCTTAGAAGCACCCCCGTTTGTTGAAGGCGCGGACCTTTCCTTATCTATAGATGCGAGGCCGGCGCATTCTAAGAAGCAGCCTCCTTCTAAGAGGCCTTCCCCCCTCTCCTACCCCCTTGCGCGCGCCGCCAAGCATGGCAGCAGGGGTGTCGACGGAGTCACGGGGCTGAGTAGCATGCGCGAAGCTGGTCCAGCTAGGGCGTGCGCGAGCAGGGACGGAGAGGAAGAGCGGGTCGGAGGGCGAGGGAGGGAGGGAGGGGAAAGGAGGGCAGCACGCCGAGAGAGGGCAGGGTGGGCGAGTGGGAGAATTTCGCAGCTTGAAGAGGCAGGAGAAGGAGGCAGCGCAATGCGGCAGACAGGCGACCAAGGCGCGGCGCGCTGGATTCGTGGACCCCCCCGCCCCTATCAGCAGTCCTCCAGGCTGCGCGACAAGATGTGTTGTGTGTGTGTGTGTCTCTGTCTCTCTCTCTCTCTCTCTCTCTCTCTCTATTACACACCCCTCTCTCCTGCCCTGCAAGAGGGCTCCCTCCGAGACCAAAAAAAAGTATCCCCAGCAGAGACCTCCGTGCTGCTGCCACGCTGCGGTTGCAACCCTGGTTTCAGTCCCGGGTCTTCTCCGTGGTGCCGATGCTCGCCTGTCGCCAGTTCCGGTGTGTTGACTACGGGCTCGTGACCCTCTTCAGGGCTCTTGGTGTGCGCCTATCTTGGCGCAACTTCATGCACTTGTTCGTGGTGACCCGCGCCATTTTGGCCTCGCGGTAGCTTGGCTGCTTCTCGACTTTGCGGCTTCGGCCACCCTGGTTCTCGCAGCCTGCCAACGCTCACGCCCACCCCGGCATCAATTCGACCTCCGACTGCCGGTCCTCTTGGCTGCGGCCACCCTGGTACTCTCGCAGTTGTCTGGGGTCTCGCGCCCTTGCATTAATCACTCGGTTTCTGTCCCTGGTCGCCGTTCTTCCCAACTACCTTGAACTTCCGACGCCATGCATACCTGCACGCTGGCAGTACGACTCTGTTTCAGCTGCCCCTCCACTCGCCGGTCCGCCGCTGAGGTGCTGCGTGAGGCCCCGCTTAGCCGCTTTAGGTGAGGCTGCCCTCCGCTGCTTTGGGTGAATTTGTCGCTGCGTGCCCCGCTTTGACTGGACTCGCCGCTGGCGCGCTCGCCGGCGGCCGCTGATAAAAAAGTATCCCCACCAGCCCGTCCAGAAATGAGTCCCAGGGGAGTGGAGGTTATGAGGGAAGCGGGGGAGCATGCAGAAGAATAAAGGGCGGGGTGAGCCGCCATATACCCCAAGAGGGGGATGATGTAGGGGAAGCCGTCGTCGTCGGAGTAGGAGGAGAAGGAGGAGTAGGAGGAGGAGGAGGAGCAGGAGGAGGAGCAGGAGCAGGAGCAGGAAGGGGAGGAGGAGGAGGAGGAGGAGGAAGATGAGGAGGAGGAGATGGAAGACTGCGAGGACGAGGAGGACGAGAAGGAGGAAAAGGAGAAGGAGGAGAAGGAGGAGGAGGAAGAGGAGGAGGAGGAGGAGGGGGAGGAGGGAGGAGGAAGAAAAAGAGGAGGAGGAGGACAACGGCGAGCTTGGGGGCCTCTTGGGCCGTCTTTGGGGCCTCTTTGCGGTCCCGGGGGCCTCTTGCGTATATCGGGGAGCCTCTTGTGGCCTCTGGGGGGTCTCTTGGGGGCCTCTTGGAGGCCTCTTGGGGGCCTCTTGGGGCCTCTTGGGGCCCTCTTGGGGCGCTCTTGGGGCGTTTTGGGGAGCCTTCGGGGCGCTCTTGGGGCCATCTTGGAGGAGATCTATCAAAAAAGGGGGGGTCGTATATGAGCGCTGCCCCTCTAGAGTGCTTCGAATCGCCTCTGAGGCCCTTCTTGAGGCCAAATTCTTTCCAAAACCAAAAGGAAAGCAATGTTTTGTGCTTTTTCGCTTTTTCGCTCTTGGAGCCGTCTTGGGCCATCTTGGGAGCCTCTGAAGGGCCTCTTGGGGGTCTCTTGGGAGCCTCTTGGAGGCCTCTAGGGGGCCTCTTGGGGCCTCTCGGGGCCCTCTTGGGGCGCTCCTGGGGCGCTCTTGGGAGCCTTCGGCGCGCTCTTGGGGCCATCTTGGAGGAGATCTATCAAAGAAGGGGGGTCGTATAATAGCGCTGCCCCTCTAGAGTGCTTCGAATCGCCTCTTGGGCCCTTCTTGAAGCCAAAATCCTTCCAAAACCTAAGGAAGGTCAATGTTTTGTGCTTTTTCGCTTTTTCACTCTTGGAGCCGTCTTGGGCCATCTTGGGAGCCTCTTGGGGCCTCGTGGGGGTCTCTTGGGAGCTTCTCGAAGGCCTCTTGGGGGCCTCCTGGAGCCTCTTGGGGCCCTCTTGGGGCGCTCTTGGGAGCCTTCAGGGCGCTCTTGGGGCCATGTTGGAGGAGATCTATCAAAGAAGGGGGGGTCGTATATTAGCCTTGCCCCTTCTAGAGTGCCTCGAATCGCCTCTTGGGCCCCCCCAAGAGGCCAAAATCATTCCAAAACCTGCGGAAAACCAATGTTTTGTGCTTTTTCGCTTTTTCGCTCTTGGAGCCGTCTTGGGCCATCTTGGACGTCCCAACGACCCGCGGAACCCCTCGCCCAGGTCGGTGGGGAGGGGTAAGGGGAGGGGTAAACCCCTCCCCGAAGGGAAAGAAGGGGGTTGGCAGAGGAAACGCTCTAGACCACCGACGCCCTAAAGGGCTGGTGGGATTCCGGACCCCCGACGGTCTTCCACGCGCCTCGCAGAGTTTGCTAGATGATATTCCATATATGATCCTGATGTCCCCCCTCCAGATAAACCCTCCCAGACCCTACGCGACTCCATCCAGGACCCAAACCCTCCAGAGCCTTCTGGGGATCTGTTGTTCCGTTGGCTTTCGGCACAAGCAGCACCCTTTTCGGCTCGCACTTGGTGATTAGCTGTCTCGTCCTCGACGTGACAATCCTTACCCGTGAGCGCCGTCCTCGCCTCAATGGCCTCCCGCCCTTTCCCTGCCAGCCTTTGGAAGCCCAAGACGGGACAAAAGCATCCAAAATCCTCGAGATTGTTCGGGGGGTCGAGGTAAGCAGGACGGGAAGGAGGAGGACAGTGGTAGGCAGGCCCAGGTGAGATGGGTAGCGGAGGCCAGCTGTCTCAGAAGCACGGGCGCAAGGCGATCGGGGGGGAAGGGCGGGGCATTCCGGAGAGGCGGCAGGGGCGCTTCGAAGGCTGGCCTTGCACGTGGGAGGCTAGCCAGTGGGGCGCGGGAAGGGGAGATAACGGATTGTCTGTTTGTTGTTCGTTTGTTTCTTTATGTTGGTCTTTAAACGAAGAAACATCCAAAGTTGTGTCGATATTTGGCGCCTTGCCTGGTGCGTGTATCTGCATCTGGCCTGCTCCCAGATCAGGAAAGGGATTGGGCCAGACACGGGGGAAGGGACACAGGAGAAGGAAGGATAGAGGTAGAAAAATAGGAACGGGAAAATTACGCGAAGAGAGGAAGAAGAGGCTTCGAGAAGAGGAGGAGGAGGCGAAGGACGTGAGGCAAGCGGTTTGGCCCGCGCTCGTGAATTCAGTATGATGTATTGATCTTCATCGCTCTGTCGAGTTCGGCTCGTTTTTGGTATGGACATTGCCAAACAAGTCGTGCCAAGGCCCCCTAGCGAACAGGATAAGGAGTTATGACCCCAGGTATTGTCGTTTTGTGCTGGCACATACGTGCCCGCATCCAGGGACGCGGCCTATCCAGAGAAGAAGCCGGCAACAACGTTGCGCCGACAGCGCGTCCAGTGAAAGCCGCCTCATCACGATGGACATGAACGCATACGCACGCGCACATGTATTGTTCCCAACCCTCCTATGTTGGGTTCTCATTTTGAATAGAGCAGTGTGGTCGCCCCGTCCTTCCTCCTTCCTCCTCCCCTCTCCTCCTCTCCTCCTTCTCTCCTGTTTCCTGTGTTCCCTTCTCCTCCTCCCTCATGCCGTCTGCGATCTGCGCAGCAGATCGCAGACGGAGGTGGACTCTCGCGCCATCTCGGGCTCCTGGGAGGCCCAGCGGAGGTCGGTCCCACGCGGACCACCTCGGGACCTCGCCGCCCCCTTCGGGGGCTTTGCGATCTGCGCAGTTGTCGCCACTTTCGCGGGCTCCTGCGAGGCCCAGCGGAGGTGGGTCCCACGCGGACCACCTCGGTACCTCGCCGCCCCGTGGGGGGCCTGCGATCTGCGAAACTGTCGCCACTTTCGTGGGCTCTTGGGAGGCTCCGCAGAGGTGGGTCCCACGCGGACCACCTCAGTACCTCGCCGTTCCCTGGGGGGCTTGCGATCTGCGCAGTTGTCGCCACATTGTGGGCTCCTGGAAGGCCCAGCGGAGGTGGGTCCCACGCGGACCACCTCAGTACCTCGCCGCCCGCTGGGGGGCTTGCGATCTGCGCAGTTGTCGCCATTTTCGTGGGCTCCTGGGAGGCCCAGCGGAGGTGGGTCCCACGCGGACCACCTCGGTACCTCGCCGCCCCCTTCGGGGGCTTGCGATCTGCGCAGCTGTCGCCACTTTCGTGGGCTCCTGCGAGGCCCAGCGGAGGTGGGTCCCACGCGGACCACCTCGGTATCTCGCCGCCCCCTTCGGGGGCTTGCGATCTGCGCAGCTGTCGCCACTTTCGTGGGCTCCTGGAAGGCCCAGCGGAGGTGGGTCCCACGCGGACCACTTCGGTACCTCGCCGCCCCGTGGGGGGCCTTGCGATTTGCGCAGTTGTCGCCACTTGGCTCCTGGGAGGCCCAGCGGAGGTGGGTCCCACGCGGACCACCTCGGTACCTCACCGCCCCCTTCGGGGGCTTGCGATCTGCGCAGTTGTCGCCACTTCCGTGGGCTCCTGGGAGGCCCAGCGGAGGTGGGTCCCACGCGGACCACTTCGGGACCTCGCCGCCCCCTGGGGGGCTTGCGATCTGCGCAGTTGTCGCCACTTTCGTGGGCTCCTGGGAGGCCCAGCGGAGGTGGGTCCCACGCGGACCACCTCGGGACCTCGCCGCCTCCGGGGGGCGGGTGCAATCTGCGCAGCTGTCGCCACTTTCGTGAGCTCCTGGGAGGCCCAGCGGAGGTGGGTCCCACGCGGACCACCTCGGGACCTCGCCGCCCCCTGGGGGGCTTGCGACCTGCGCAGTTGTGGCCACTTTCGTGGGCTCTTGGGAGGCCCAGCGGAGGTGGGTCCCACGCGGACCACCTCGGTACCTCGCCGCCCCCTTCGGGGGCTTGCGATCTGCGCAGCTGTCGCCACTTTCGTGGGCTCCTGGGAGGCCCAGCAGAGGTGGGTCCCACGCGGATCACCTCGGGACCTCGCGGTGCCCTGGGGGCTGCGATCTGCGCAACTGTCGCCACTTTCGTGGGCTCCTGGGAGGCCCAGCGGAGGTGGGTCCCACGCGAGACCACCTCGGTACTTCGCCGCCCCCTGGGGGGCTTGCGATCTGCGCAATCGCCACTTTCGTGGGCTCCGGCCCAGCGGAGGTGGGTCCCACGCGGACCACCTCGGTACCTCGCCGCCTCCGGGGGGGGGGGGCCATCTGCGCAGTTGTCGCCATTTTTCGTGGGTTCCTGGGGAGGCCCAGCGGAGGTGGGTCCCACGCGGACCACCTCGGGACCTCGCCGCCCCCTGGGGGGCTTGCGATCTGCGCAGTTGTCGCCACTTTCGTGGGCTCTTGGGAGTCCCAGCGGAGGTGGGTCCCACGCGGACCACCTCGGGACCTCGCCGCACCCTGGGGGGCTTGCGATCTGCGCAGTTGTCGCCACTTGGGTGGGCTCCTGGGAGGCCCAGCGGAGGTGGGTCCCACGCGGACCACCTCGGGGCCTCGCCGCCCCCTGGGGTGCTTGCGATCTGCGCAAGTGTCGCCGGAGGCCCAGCGGAGGTGGGTCCCACGCGGACCACCTCGGGACCTCGCCGCCCCCTGGGGGGCTTGCGATCTGCGAAACTGTCGCCACTTTCGTGGGCTCCTGGGAGGCCCAGCGGAGGTACGTCATACGCGGACCACCTCGGTACCTCGCCGCCCCCTGGGGGGCTTGCGATCTGCGCAGCTGTCGCCACTTTCGTGGGCTCCTGGGAGGCCCAGCGGAGGCTTTCGTGGTGTTATTGTCCTCGCCGCCGCGCCTTTTTTTGTTCACTCTTTGGGCGCGTTTCTTTCAACGCCCTGTGTTTCCATGTTGAATATTTGCCGTTCTCCTCTTGCTGCTTTCTTTTGAAATCACTGCTGGATGCTCTTCTTGCGCACTGCGGGTCCTTCAGAATGCCAGTCAGCATTGAGTTGTCCTGAGTACAATCGCCACATGTATAGAAAATGGCCGGGTACGTCACAGGGTATTTGTTTGGTTCATGGCATTGGTCCATACGAGCAGCTTTGCGCATGGGTGAGAGGCACGCAGGGGGACAGATCGGAAGTCACCGAACGCGTGGCAACGCCCGCTCCTCACGCACGCAGTAATATGGTCGGCATGCCATGTAAGTGTGGATGTGGCGTGGATCTCAGCCTGTGGCTGCAAGCCAAAGGTACATCGGGCACCGATGTGACGCAAGTGTTATTGTGAATGACGCTGGATTGTGTTCATGAAGATATCAGTGTGATGATTTCCTGAAGTTGTATTTCCGTCACGTTTCGTCACTTGTTTATCAATTCATGCGCTCATTGTTGACAAAAGAGTCCTTGTCGACATGGCGGGGCTCAGCTTGAAATGCTGGTTACGGTGGCACCCGAGAGGGGTATCGGGAAAAAGTGGGGTGCCAGCGGGGCAGAGTAGTTCTGGCACGCGGGGGGGAAGGATCATTAACGCGCCCAGGACGAGTCGCCCGAGGACTACGACCACAGCAGCATTCAGCGAATCAGATGGGAATCAAAATAACATGCAAATGTCGGAGAACCAGGCAATGAGGCGACTGATACATTCATACATTGAGAGATGTATAAAAACAAGAAGAAAGAAGGAGGAGGAGAGAGCGAGAGAGAGGGTGAGAACAATGCTCGCCGCACAGACGATGGGGAAAGAGTCACGCATTGTTCAAGGAAGGGAAAAGCCGAAACCATCCTTGCTTTCAAGTAGCCTCTAGCACTTTCGCGGTTCACCGAACATTACCGACAGGACCCAGGGCCCGAAGCACAACGGTGCGCACAGAGGCCACCAAGTCATTGAGCGTGTTTTGGTGTTTTGTACATGGTGTATATGAAAAGATTGCAGCGTCACACGTGAGCGAATTGCATTAACGATCGAAACTTCTAGATAGCATAACACGTTTGTTGTTCACTACTGCGCCTTGTTATCCAAGACGGGAACGGTTTGAACCTTGCTGAGTTGTGTCGCCAGACGTGTACCGCACAACGGATTCCTGAGCTGATTGATTGGTTGATTGGTTCGAGTTCCGCTCTCTTTGCTTGATATTTCCGGCCCCACGGCTCGCGTGAACGAAACAATTTTGGCCATGACCGGACTTGAATGTTAAATCGTGTGCTACGTATTCACTTGAGTCCCTTCGCAACGCGCATTTGCATCGTAGAAGCCCAAGTCCGTTCCGGCGCCACATTTAGAAAACGATTCCGACGTATTGCAAAAGATAGTTTCCAGTCGGCTTTCCTTCTTGTTGCGTCAGGATTGCATACGGTTGATGATGATTTGGACGAGCATCGCGCGTGAACGGCATTGAATTCAACAACGCTCCGAATATTACAAGCATGCGTATTTCAAGCATATGTATGAGCGCCTTTTCCGGTGAAAGCGCACTCGTTGATCGTATTGCCGTGTAGCCTCTAGCTTGCTTCCGATACAATTGCATAAGGGCGGCGATGGCAGGGCTAAGTAAATCTGACACCTATCTTGGTATGAACCCTTCTTTCAAATATCGCTGCATCTCTTGTTTGCGTTATTCATGCGCATTGTTTGTAGCTGGATGATCTTGGTTGCGCGGCGCATTTGCATGGAAATCTGTTGACTACCATTTGGCGTGGATGTTTGGTGTGATACATGTT